TTGATGCAAGAATAGTATCATAATATCTTTAAAGTATTAATCAACTGATATTTTTAAGTAACACAGCTAAGGAAAATTAAATTGTATTGTCTACAAAAGTTGTAATAACATCTAAACTCGTACAACGAACAATAATCGCGATATATGCAAAGATTTGATATTCATGACCTTTGACTTCTACTAAATATCTCACCATGACTTTTAGTTCTTTATTTACATTTTTTATATGATGTTGTATACTTGTTTTTATTTTACCGCCTTAAATTCTAAATTTTGATCAATTTGTCGGATAATGTGGATAGATTACGTTTACAAATATTGCTGAAGTTATGAATGTAAAACTGAAATATTTTGCCAAAATATTTTTAGTTGACCCAGTTTGCTTGGTATTGAAAATGCGAAATATCGGTCAACAATTTCACCTAGCCCCCATTTATGCCCTATTCTGAAAATTACTATATTACTTAAAAAAGCATGTATAGCGATGAAATTCAATATAAAAAAGTTTTATTGGAAATGTATTTGTCAAAGTTTATGAGGATCGGTATATAATTGACTCTATCCCTCATAAAAAGTCTCCTCAGAAAATTACTTTAAAGCTCATAATGTACTGCAATATAGCAACAAAATTCAACATAATCAAGTTTTAAAGGAACTAAAATATCTCTGTCAGATTTTATGAGAATTGGTCCATAATTGACCATACGTCTCATATAAGATCCCCTACAGAAAATTACTTTAACGCTCATAACTGTCTTCATAATACCAGTTTAGCGACGAAATTTAACATAGTTACAAGTTCCACTTCAGAAAATGAATTTGTTATTTTAATGTCCAAATGTAAACATGAAACAAATAAAAATAATTTTGTTTACTTTTTTCTTAATTTGGTTATTTTTTATTCGAATTTTGGCTAGAAAAAAAATTTTGTTGTGGCAACACTGGATATAACTATAGACATTTGTTGCAATTATGAGAATTGGCATGCTCTATTCCACTAGAGCATTAAAAAATATGAAAAACCACTGTATTATTTTTTTGGCGATTGTTAAAAAATTTCACGCACCAAACGAGAAAAAGTTTTTCATTACATATTTCAATTATTTAGGAAGAATATATTTTATTCCTTCGTTAAGTTGTTTTTATGATTAATAATAACTGGGGACTTACTTCATAATAAAAATTTAAATAAGGGAAGTATCCCTCACACTTACAAAAAAAGTTGCAATTATCTGTATAATGACAGATTTATCATCGCTTAGCCCAAACCGTTAAAGCTAGAATCATGAATTTTCGATACTAGGTTTCTTTGGCAATACATAGATCCATTGCGAAAGGATTTTTGAAAATTCGAACGTTTAGGGGATGAATTGGGTAAAAAAAGGGTAATTTTTGGTTTATTAAGGAAAGTGGGGTGCTGCGTGATGTTTTTGATTCCAAATGGTCCAAAAAAATTATATTCATTACATATACAACATTGGCCATCACGTGGTGGTATGCCTAAAATTTCGCAAAATTTGTTATATCCCTAATGTACATACATATGTATGTATGTACATATGCATGTACAGACATACATTATGTATAATTTATTATTTTTAAATTATTTTTACGCACCCTCTAAATACATTAGTTGTGTTTTGTTGCTAACGTTCAAAGGCAATTTCATATAAATTTAAAATTTATAAACGTTAGGAGTGTAAAATTATACAAGTTAATTTTAACGTTGATAAAAGTGCTACCAATTCAAAAATAAAAATACAAATATTAATGTGTTTATGTCAAACAATAAAAAAATATTTTAAAATAAAATTTAAATCAAAGAAAATTACCAAATAAAAAAACCTTTTCAAGAAATTGTAAATAATTTCAAGATTTAGCAGATTTCTTCTGTGGAGTGATGCCAAGTCAGGTAATGTTCGTTTTGTTGCTAACTTTAAGCGTTAACACTCATTGATAGCAACAAAACACAACTATTGATAATATTATAATAATAAAAATGCACAAAATTTAATTTTAAATTTAAAACGTTAAAGTATAAAATAAAAAAATTTAAATATTTCTTAAACTACTTACATATTACTTATTAACTATAAACTTTCGGCGTTTCAATTCGCTGATTTTAGGGGTCACATCTCATGTTGTCCTCAAGAAATTCATCCGACGGTTATTGTCCCTCAGGTGCACCATCTGAAAATAAACAATATAAGACACTTTATTTTATGGAATTTATTTTATTTATTTTATTTAACAATATTCAATAACCTATCCTATAGGCCATAAGCGGTTACAAATTTCTACTTCACAATAATTCCTCCAATACAAAATACATAATTATATATAAATAAAATTACACCTAATTTTTTTTAAAAAGATAATATACTATATAAAATAACGATAGGACAATTAAAATGTACCGCATTGATCATAAATAAATTCCTACATAATTTGCAATCAAACAAATGTAATTCAAAGAAGCAAAACAGGTTAAAATAAAGAAAAGTATATGTAGAAATCATAAACAATCCCAAAAATGAACTCACAGAACCAATCAATATGTCATACAGGAACTATATGGCAAATAACACTCCAGACTGTAAAGGACATAGGTAATACAAATCAGACAGAAACATGAAGCTATAAAACACCTATCAGTTGAACCTTCTGTGAAGAAATATAAGTCAATTGTAAGAAATGTACATGAAATCTGATTTACTTACATTTTTTCAACATTTTATCCAATTGTATGTACACAGCTACAGCTACCTGTCACTGTCATTTGTTCAGTTTTCCATATTCATTAACAGGGATGTTTCATCTCCATGGTGTTTGGTCGTAATACCAATTCGAAATTGTCTTTCACTATATTAATTATTATTTATTTACAACCATTTTTACATACAACTTTTTCCGGACCTTCAATGAATGGAGTAGCTTCCTCTGTTATCACATTCAATTTGCTCTTTCTTTTTCAATTACATATTTCTGAAAATATTGAGTATTTTTTCCCACCAAAATTTATCACATTTAAGACATTTTTTGAAGGGGGGTTTGTATGGGGGTTAGGGTCATTACGAAAACCTGCAATGTCATTTATACTTATATAAAACTTATTTGTGCCAATTTTTAGAGATAATAGTATATTTGACGTAATTACGGCATAAAAAGCCCAAATCGGGAGGTACGGTTGTATGGGGGCTAGGTGAAATAATGGACCGTGTGCTAAAAAACATGCTTGGTCCAAATTTCATCAAATTATCTTGAAAATTGTGGCCTGTACCTTGCGCACAAGGTTTACATGGATAGCCAGCCGGACAGACATGTCTTAAACGACTCAAAAAATGATTCTGAATCGATAGGTATACTTCAAGGAGGGTGTAGGACCAATATTTTTGTGTGTTACAAACATCAGCACAAACGTATAATACCCTCCCCACTATAGTGGTGTAGGGTATACAAATGAATGTTTGTATGTTAGTTTGGACTTTATAGACTGCTAAACGGCTGGAGCGATTTTCCTGAAATTTCCACAGTGGCTTCCTTTTTGTTTGGATGGAACTATAGGCTACCTTTTGCTTTGGAATTTCAAGTAGGCGAAGTGCCACGCCCACTTACAAAGTCAGTCTTAAAAGTGCATATCTCAGAAACTGCAACATCTAGAGCCCTAAAATTTTTTACAAACAACTTTGACATCCATAAGAATATTTGTGGACAAAAATAGAAAATATTAAATCAGTGTACCTGAGAAAATATAACAGTTAGAGTCCTCAAATTTTGTCGGAGCCACTTTAGTGTCAATATGATTATTTAGGACAAAAAGAGGGCGGACTAGCATTAGGGGGCGTGTCACCTCCCATATAAATAAAATACAAAAATTCGTTTATCTTGGAAATTATAGGGTTAGAATCTTCAAATTTTGCACGAAGAACCTTAACATCTATGTAAACATTTTGGGCAATAAATTGGCGGACTACCAATGGGGGAGCGGCAACTCCCACATGAATTAAATACAAAAAATCGCTTATCTGGGAAATTAATAGAACTAGATGCTTATTTTTTTTTACGTAGAGCTTTAATATTCATCTAAATATTTTGGGGAAAAAGGGCGGACTTTCATCAAGGGGGCTTGGCACTCCCATATGAATTAAATAGAAAAATTTGTATATCTGAGGAACTATTAGATTTTACATGAAGAACTTTGACATGAATTGGCACCTCCCATATGAATTAAATACAAAATTTCGTATATCTGGGAAACTATTAGATTATTTGCATTTTTCATAGGTTACATTTAAATCTTAACGTTTGGAAAAATTGGCGAACTTGCAATAATTTGAATGGCATCTCATTATATACATATATGAAAAACTATAGTTAAAATCTTCAAAATCGTTAAGTGGGTTTTTAATTTATATTGCTTTTAGGATAGCAAAGCACATTGGGTATAGCTAATTAAATTATATTTATTTAAAATACTACCCTTCTTCTGGGATTGCGGCGTTTTGTTTATAAAAACACATAAACTTTTCTTTCATGTATTGCGCATTTACTTATCAATGATGCCGACGTGCGCATTAGCAAATACTCGCTACTGAATGGTTGACGAGTGTTGCGCACAAGCGATTTACAGCAGCGGGTACATGCGTATATTGTAGTAAATGAATATGAGTAATAATGCATTCTATTCTTAAATAAATAGACCTTTAACCACATTAAGAAATTTGTATATGTGATTAAATTATGATCATTTAGAAAATAAAATTTTTGTATAAGAAAATGTGTAATTTATATAAAAACATATTTTTAGCGATTTTATATAAATATTAATAAACAACTATTTTGGAAATTTCCAAATGTCAATAAATATAATTTTGATATATTATTACCTATTCTTGCATGCACATACAAGTGTAATAAAATCAAGATCAATTGTAAAAATTCTTCTACCTAATTTTGTATATACAAATGCAAGAAGTGTGTTAAAACTATAAAGAATTTAAATAATTTCCATGCTACCTGCGACAGTCTTTGGCAAAAATAATATTTAAATATTTTTTGTGGGCTGTCCTAATGTTGTTTAATTTTGTCTTATTTACCAAATTGTTAGTGATACTTATTGTAAGATCATTGTTGTTGTTTAGTTCATTTGTCCGTTAGGATTTATTTTTTATATTGTTTTGCATTCCTTTTTGTTCTCATTTGTTTACGAACTAAACGCATTCTTTGTCCCTATATTCTACTGCAGTAGTTTCGTTCAGTTTATTTATTTGGAAATAAACTGTTGTAAAAATACATAGACAAAAGAATTTGTAGGCTCAGTATTAACTGACATTAATATTAAAGTTTAGTTTGTTGGGGATAAAGACTGCGGTAAGTCGCTTAAATTATTTATAAGTTTCTTTTGTAATAATTTTACTTTTTTTAATAGAAATAAACGGTTGCTCAAATATATGCATCATTAATTTCACATTTGTGGTTCATTTATTTGGGACTTGTTAAATTCGCTGTCCTCAACATAAAGACTCAGGTCGCAGCCAGCGACAAATTTTATTTCGCATTCCTTGGTGCGGTTGTGTTCCATGTCTGCCGGAACAACGAAATTTATTTCAAATCTTGAGCGAAGGTGTTCCAAGGTGCCTGAACAAGATAAGCCTTTATTTGATTTGTGGTTCTAAGCTGCCGGAACAAATAAAATATTTTGAATTATTGATTTGTGGTTCCAAGCTGCCGGAACAAATTGAAATAATTGTGAAGTGGTTCTATATTTGCTGGAACAAAGTGTTTAAAATAAGATTCGTAATGCAACGGTCGCCAGCTAGAAAAAGCACTCGTTTGCAGACGGCAACGAGCCAAAATGTGAAAAGTTCCACGCCTGCCGGAACTGAAAGTTTAGCAAATGTGTCTCAAATGCCGTCGGTACAAAATGTCAGTTCTGTCGCCCCGGAACAACAACAGCAACTAGTGCCTCCATAAGTGCCCCTAGAGAACCGACACCTGCCATATCAACGCATAACATTTTTAGTTCATCAATTGAAGAGCCCTTAAGTCTGCCGCCGTTAGTGCCCGGTCCTAATGCGAGAACCCAGCCACCACAAGCTATATCGTCTGATAATGAGAACCTGCAACGACAAATTGATATCCTGCAAGCCCAGTTGGCAAACGCTCAACGTGCTTTAAGAGCAAATCAAAATTAAAACATGCCAAGTGTTATTGGACAAAATGCGCCAGTAATTCAAGAAATTTGTATATGTGATATTCTGCCTGAATTTTGTGGTACTGCCGAGGATTGGCCAATGTTTTTGTCTGCCCTTGAACATTCGACAGCCGCATATTCGTACAATAATTTTGAAAATTGTTTGAGATTGCAGAAGGCTTTGAAAGGTGAAGCCAGAGAGTGTGTGAAGTCGTTGCTCATCCACCCAAATAATGTGCCAACAGTTATAGAGCAATTAAAGCTACAATATGGTCGCCCAGAGTTGCTTATTCGATGCCAGTTGCAACAGATGAAGGAAGTTCAGCCCATAGCAGAAAACGCGATCGATAAATTGGTGCCATATTCCATTAAGATCAGAAATTTAGCAGCATTTTTGGAATCTGCCAATGGTCATCAACATTTTTCGAATCCAACTCTGATGGAGGAGTTAGTCCAGAAGCTTCCAATGAGTAAACGTTTGGATTGGGCCTAGTTTGCTTCAACTTTACCTCAGTTGCCGACTATTTCGGATTTTAGTACCTGGCTCCAGCGTGTTGCAAATTTGGTAAGAAGTGTGCAAATAAGTATTTCAAGTGGCGGTAGATCTAGCAGTGATTCAAAAAGAAAAGTGGTTTTATATGCTTCTGATGGCCCAGAACGGCAGTTAAAATGTTTTTATTGTGTTGGCCCACATAAAATTTTTGATTGTAAGAAATTTTTAGAATTGAGTGTGCCTAATAGATGGAGTGAAGTGAAGAGATTGAACTTGTGTTTTTCGTGTCTCAGTGGTGGCCATTCATGTAAAGATTGTCGTCGGCGCAAGCAGTGTCCCATGGAAAAGTGCCAAAGAAATCACAATAAATTATTGCATGAAACTAAACCTAATGAACCAAGTGAACGATCCGTAAATGTGCCGCCAACAGAGAGATCTTCAACAGTCGAGCCAGTGCTTAGTTGTGTTTCCAGTGCTAGTGAAAAAAATGATTTGTTGTTCAGAGTGCTCCCAGTGGTTCTTTATGGACCAAATTGTGCTATTGAAACTTATGCACTCCTAGATGAAGGTTCTTCGGTGACAATGATGGATAGCTCTTTAGTGAGGGAACTTGGATTGCAAGGTCGACAAAGTCAATTGAATTTGAGTTGGTATGGTGGTAAATCAGCACAAGAAGCTGTCATGGTGGTGGATCTTCATGTGAGCGGTGTTAATAAGAAGAGGGAATACGCTTTGAAAAATATGTATGGTGTCTCGAATTTGAAGTTGCCTAGTCAGAGCTTTAATGCGGATTTAGTAAAGAATTGTGGTGTTCCTTTATGCTCCTATGAATGTGTGGCTCCAAAGGTACTGATTGGTTTAGATCATTGCCATTTAGGATTGCCCGATGAAATAGTCCCTTTGGAAGATGCTGGTCCATATGCTGCCAATACACCTCTTGGAAGGGTTGTTTTTGGAAACGTGAAAATAGGTCGCCCTGGAACACAAACTTGTTTGCTGACAACACAGTTGGATAATTTGAATAATTTGTTATTTTGAAACAGAAAATTTTGGTGTTAAGGCTCTACTGGTGATTGAGTCAAGAGATGATTTGCGTGCACGAAAGATATTGAGAAATTCGACGAAGAGGGTTGCCGGAAGATTTGAATCCAGACGACTATGGTATAATGATGACGTAGTCCTGCCGGATAGCTATTCCAGCAAAGGTGGAAGGTGTCTCATTGAATTCAAAGTTATTGAAAGGCCCTCAACAGTACAAACCGTTGCCATCCGTTTTGTTTAATTTCAGAGTCGGTTCCGTAGCTGTATGCGGAGACATAAAGGAAATGTTTCATCAAGTTGTTGTTGCTGAAGAAGACAGGTGTTCGCAGAGGTTCTTGTGGCGAGATAATGAAAGTGGTCCACCTGAAGTGTATGAAATGCTTGTGATGACGTTTGGAGCTGCCTGTTCGCCCTGTATTGCCCATTATGTGAAGGAAACAAATGCAATGGAGTATCGAGATCGTTTCCCTAGAGCCGTGAAGTCAATTCTGGATCATCATTACGTAGATGATTTTGTAGATAGTTTTGATAGCCCGTTAAAAGCCATTGAAATAGCCATACAAGTTGGAGAAATACATAAAGCTGCTGGGTTTGAAATGCGTAATTTTACATCGAATTCATCAGAGGTGGTCGTGGCTCTAGAAGGCAGTTTAAATCATCAGGTCAGTTTCTCAGGTGGCTTAAATAAGATGGACGGCTCAACTGAAAAGGTACTTGGTATGTTTTGGGATCCAAAGGACGACGCATTCAAATTTGTTCTGAAATTCCATCGTGTGAATTCTGACGTCATCAGCGGTACAAGGTGTCCCACAAAGCGTGAGTTATTATGTGTCGTAATGTCAATATTTGATCCAATAGGTTTTTTGTGCCATTTTATGATAACGGCAAAACTTTTGATGAGAGAACTCTGGAGACATAGTGTACTTTGGGACGAGATGTTGCCCGCCGTATTACAAATGATGTGGAATAATTGGCGCCAAGAGCTAAGAAATGTGGTCCACGCTAAGGTTCCACGATGGTATTTTGGAAATGGTTTGCTCTTGGAGTTAGAGCTGCATGTTTTTGTTGATGCCAGTGAAGATGCCTTCGGTGCAGTGGCCTATTGGAGATATATGGAGATATTATATCTGCCAAGTCGAAATGTGCCCCATTGAAATGTATGACCATTCCCAGATTAGAATTACAAGCCGCCGTTTTGGGAACCCGATTGATGGACACTATAATGAAGGAACACGATCTCAATGCTTCTCGTCGAATCTGTTGGAGTGACTCTAAAAGAAGTCGCCCCAAAAGAGCACACATTGCAAAGTTTTTTAATTGAAGCCGAAAACATCGTAAACTCTCGCCCATTGACTCACTTGCCTGTCAGCCCTGAAGACGAAGAACCGTTGACGCCAAATCATTTCTTGTTGGGATCTGCAAATACGGCTCAACCACCAGAAGGTATTGAAATAACAAAGCCAGTGGTACTGAATTGCTAGACAGCTGCGAGATCATTTCTGGAAAAGATGGATTATTGAATATTAGCCCACACTTACAAGACGGTCCAAATGGTGTGAATATACCAAGCCTGTGGCTCCGGGTGATCTTGTACTAATTTGTGATCCAGCTGTTTCCCGTCGAGATTGGAAGAGAGGTCGTGTCATAAATGTGTTCCCTGGCAGTGATGGTGTAATACGGAAAGCTGATGTCCAAACAAGTAGTGGAATACTTAAACGCCCGGTTTCCAAACTAGCAGTCCTTGATTTGGATGGTGAATCGTTGCCGATCCACGGTGGTGGGAATGTCGCCTAATGGCTCATCAATTTATTTGTTTATTTAATTTATTATTTTTATTTTCATTTAATTTAAAATATTTTTGTTAATTTAAATATTTTTTGTGGGCTATCCTAATGTTGTTTAATTTTGTCTTATTTACCAAATTGTTAGTGATACTTATTGTAAGATCATTGTTGTTGTTTAGTTCATTTGTCCGTTAGGATTTTTTTTATATTGTTTTGCATTCCTTTTTGTTCTCATTTGTTTACGAACTAAACGCATTCTTTGTCCCTACATTCTACTGCAGTAGTTTCGTTCAGTTTATTTATTTGGAAATAAACTGTTGTAAAAATACATAGACAAAAGAATTTGTAGGCTCAGTATTAACTGACATTAATATTAAAGTTTAGTTTGTTGGGGATAAAGACTGCGGTAAGTCGCTTAAATTATTTATAAGTTTCTTTTGTAATAATTTTATTTTTTTTAATAGAAATAAACGGTTGCTCAAATATATGCATCATTAATTTCACATTTGTGGTTCATTTATTTGGGACTTGTTAAATTCGCTGCCCTCAACATAAAGGCTAAGGTCGCAGCCAGCGACAAAACGAATTTATTATTTATTCCATATAAGTGTACAACGCCCTCTATATCCATTTTTGTCCAAAATATTCATGTTGATACTAAAGTGGTTCCGAAAAAATTTAAGTGAAAGGAAGCCTATAGTTCTTTCCAGACATACAGGATGACACTATGAAAATTTTTAGGAAAATCGCTCCAAACAAACGAACAAACATACATACATTTATTTATATGTATGTATATAGAATATACATACGTACATACATACCCTACAGTACGAAAAGTACCAATTGACACCTTTCGCTAGCTATATTACCGCACATCCAACTGACTAGTTACCTCTGGTAAATAAAGTGGTCGTTATTCTGTCGAAACGTTCACTACATTTCACTATTGTAATCAATAGTTCACATTTGATAAATTTTCGCATGAAGTTTATGAAAATAAATCCCAGACAAATTATATGTTTTAAAAATGTCACTTTGATAGACACATGTAGTGCTTAAAGTAACCGCATGGCACATTTCTGACGAAATGTAATGTTGAAAGTGACCGTTTGCATTTAATGAAGCAGAAGAATGCAAAAATTGTTATAAAAGTGCATGTTATTCAAAACAACAATTAGAGCTTTGTATGAACAAGAGATCAGTAGCTCATAACAACTTACTTTATTGGGATTTTCAGCATGATAATGAACCAAAACCTTTGGCAAAGTTGATCTAAGAGTAGTTATCGTATAATGGGACCCAAATTCTTTTATTGTCCATCAAAATCTCCTGACTCAAGCCCCTCAGAGATGCTGTTCAGCATTCTGAAGCGCTAGGTCGAAACTTGCAGTTTTAGAAAACATTACAGCTGGCGAATGGCTTAAAATCCGATTACGAACTACACTAATAACTATTCTATTCCATAAAGGTGTTTGGAACTCAAAAGGACCAAAGATTTTCATAAGAAAATCAAAAAGTTACTTAAGCTTCGAACAGCTATTTATGGAGTTAATTCAGTTACTATTTTCTTGTAACTCACAGAGAAATGGAATTAAACTTTTGTTGTTGTTATTATAATGTAGACACATAATATTATTATCAATTATATAATTTTGAATAAATCAATTAAAAATTAGAAAATATAGCACTTTGTATACAATGCTAAAAAAAGTTGCCTAGGTTTCGAACAATATTGTACATACATACATACATACATACATACATACATACATACATACATACATACATACATACATACATACATACATACATACATACATACATACATACATACATACATACATACATACATACATACATACATACATACATACATACATACATACATACATACATACATACATACATACATACATACATACATACATACATACATACATACATACATACATACATACATACATACATACATACATACATACATACATACATACATACATACATACATACATACATACATACATACATACATACATACATACATACAGTTGCGTTCAAAATAATAGGAGTGAAAATTTCAAATATAAATTTTTTAGTGAAATATTTAGATTTTTAATTAATATTAATTAAATATTTTTATAATTTATTTATTTAACTTGTTCTCTAATTTTTATAATCGTTATTTTAAATATTTAAGAAATTTATTTAAAAAATATATATATTTTTTTAAATTTATATAAAAAATCTGTTATTCAAAATAATAGGAGTATTCGATTTAAGTTCAAATATTTTTAAAATAAAAACAAAAACGAAGGGAATTTCATCTAAAAAATTATTAATTAATGTGTAGCAGTACAGTCAGTCATTTTTGTCAAGATTTTATTTAGAATTTGGGTATATGAGCCTCCGGAATTTAATGTCTTTCCGACAACGGTTTTGAGGGGCTTGATGACACATGTCGTGGCCGATTATCCACAAATATGCAGTTATTTATTCAGAAAACCTTAAATGACGTTATATGCAAAGTCTTTTAACGTTTTGCTGTAGAATCAGTTAGTCGACAACCATGTAATGGCCTACTTCCTATGGAACGACCTTCCAACAATTTGGAATCAATAATGTTTTCATACCACAACACCGCCATTTTATTAAATTTGTTTATTGGGAATATGAGAACATATCTTGGGGTAATATGTTTACCTACAACATTTGGTCTACGATACCATTTTACAATTTTTTAGACCATACCCTTTTTGTCAAGACCCATCGTGAATCATTCCTATTATACGACATCTTTGAAAGTTGGTTAGAGCTTAATATTTTTCGATTAAAGGACTTCCAATATATTTTCTGAATTAATTTAGATTAAAAAATGTAATTTGTTGTCGTATTCCTGCATTAAAAATTCGTCCATGTATGAAACCACCTTTAAATTATTTTATTTGGTAGACTTTATGGGTTTCACTATATGCTTTATGGTCAGAAATTAAATTTTTTCAAAAAAGATTTGTTTAAAAATTGATCTGAACTAACTGAATATTGATCACGATGTTTAATAATTACAAATTGGCTTAGTTTCACTAATTTGGGACGCCCTAATGGGATTAAGTTTAAAAAAATGATGAGCGCTTATGGGAAACGCTTATCATATTTGAATAAAATGTTTATTTTTTATGAGAGATTTTAAAACATTTGACTTCCTAATGTACTCGAAAAAATCTTTTAATGAAATTACCATGAGATTTTTCATATTTTTTTTTCGCGATATTTTCAAATTTTTCAAGATATTTGAACAGATTTCGTTTTCGTCAATTCTGACATTTTCTTTCAGGATTTTAAAATGAAATAATTGTGAACTAAGCTTAAAATTACTTAAAATCATCTAAATATAACAGTTTTATATTATATTTTTAATATTTACTACGAATAATGGAAATTAATCTAACTTAGGTTATATAATATACGGTACTCCTATTTTTTTGAACAGTCAAAATCTGATATGGATTTCGAAAAAAGTGAATACCAAAAAACTAATGTATTTTAAACACATACATACATACATACATACATACTACATACATACATACATACATACATACATACATACATACATACATACATACATACATACATACATACATCATACGTACATACATACATACATACATACATACATACATACATACATACATACATACATACATACATACATACATACATACATACATACATACATACATACATACATACATACATACATACATACATACATACATACATACATACATACATACATACATACATACATACATACATACATACATACATACATACATACATACATACATACATACATACATACATACATACATACATACATACATACATACATACATACATACATACATACATACATACATACATACATACATACATACATACATACATACATACATACATACATACATACATACATACATACATACATACATACATACATACATACATACATACATACATACATACATACATACATACATACATACATACATACATACATACATACATACATACATACATACATACATACATACATACATACATACATACATACATACATACATACATACATACATACATACATATGTATGTATGCAAAAAGGGGGTAAAAGTGTGAAAAAGCGGTCAAAATTAGTACTTTTAAGCATAAATACCAATTATTGTCTTTGCTTAAGCCAAAATATATTTCATTAAGCTTTTTAAAGTATCAGAAATATGACAAAAGGGAAAAAAACGGCAAAATTAGTACTTTTGTGCTTTGAGACTAATTTTTATCTGTTCTATATCAATTGCGCTTTTTATAGTATCGGAAATATGCATATTTTGGAAGCCCACCCAATGGGGGAAAAAAACGGGTAAAAAAAGGAATTCTATGTTTGCTGTATAAAAGACATCAAATCCTAATCCTAATATATATTATAAATCTCTTTGTAAGTCTGTTCGTTTGTTTGTTCGTCAATCACGCCTAAACGGCTGGACTGATTTTCTTCAAATTTGGAACATAGTTAGATCTATACTTGGAGCAGTGATGCCAAGTGTAGGGATTTTTCCCTTTTTGTAGGGATTTTTTTCAAAAATTTCACGTGTAGGGAAAAAGGGAAAGATTTCTTACTATTGTCAAATTGTAGGGATTTTTCAATTTCACAGTTTTTAACAACTAAAAATATACTCTTTCATGTATTAAACTTTTAAATTAAAAATGAAATCAGTTTTAAGTGTATCGTTAGTAAAAATTCCGCTTGTAATTTCTACAATATATGTACCTACATATCGCTACAAGACTGGCATAATCCAAAATTCGGCTTTCTTGAACTAAGGTCTTCAAAACATGCGACATACTAAAATCTTTCATATAGATTTATGAAATTTCAAATATGTCTATTATTTTCGATGTGAAATCGATTTTTTGTAAACGTATAAACTAAAACCTACGTTTTTGTGAATATTAGACAACTAAACGCAAAAGTAAACCTTATTTAAAATATTTATTTTATGAAAATTTTTTTGTTGGAGGCACATAAAATAAATTTTTATCACGATTCGATATACTGCCATAAATCTTTCAATTGTTTTTTTTTTTTAATCTTAACTGAAGAGTCAGGGTTGGAAGATTTGTATGATGTAAAATTGAAAGAAAAAAAAATTAAAATTTAAATTCTAGAAATTTCATTCCTAAAAATTAAAAAAAAAATACATACATATATGTATATTATAAAACGGAGCTAATACTTTAGTTTTTGATGTTATTTTTGTATTTTTTTAAGATAAACTTTGAAAAAAATGGAAAAAAGTAGTGTAGGGAAAAATGTAGGGAAAATAAAAAGTGAGTGTAGGGAAAAAAGGGATTTTTTCTCATAAGCGTAGG